ACAGATGGTTGTGAGCCACCATGTGGTTGCTGGGAATTGAACTCAGGACCTCTGGAAGAGCAGTCAGTGCTCTTAACCACTGAGCCATCCCTCCAGCCCCATATTTCTTTATTCTTAACATTTAAATCATAGTCTTTCACAAATAACCAGTAAGCACTCTCTTTTTTTTTTTTTTCTTTTTTTTGTTTTTTTGAGACAGGGTTTCTCTGTGTAGTCCTGGCTGTCCTGGAACTCACTCTGTAGACCAGGCTAGCCTCGAACTCTTGAACTCAGAAATCCACCTGCCTCTGCCTCCCAAGTGCTGGGATTAAAGGCGTGCGCCACCACTGCCCGGCAAGAAAAAAAATTATTTTAACCTGGTATGATGATGGTGCACACCTCTAACCCGAGCTCTCAAGAGGCAGAGGCAGGTAGATCTCTGTGAATTTGAGACCAGGCTAGTCAACATAATAAGTTCCAGGCCAGCCAGAGCTATATACAGAGACCCTATCAAACAAAAAACCCACATGTCTCTGTGTGGCTATACACACATGAACACAGCTGCTTCTAGAGGCCAGAAGAAGACATCAAATGCTCTGGAGCTGGAATTAAAATTGTGCAATTGAGAACCACCTGATCTGGGGATATCTTAGTTACGGTTTTACTGTTGTGAACAGACATCATGACCAAGACATCTCTCTCTCTTTTTTTTTTTTTTTTAAGATTTATTTATTTTATTATGAGTACACTGTAGCTATCTTCAGACACACCAGAAGAGGACATCGAATCTCATTATGGATGGTTGTGAGCCACCATGTGGTTGCTGGGATTTGAACTCAGGACCTCTGGAAGAGCAGTCAGTGCTCTTAACCGCTGAGCCATCTCTCCAGCCCTTTTTTTTTTTTAAATTGGATATTTTCTTTACATTTCAAATGTTATCCCCTTTCTTTCCCGGTCAACCCCCCACCCCCCAAACCCCTTATCCCATCTCCCCACTCCCTGTTTCTATGAGGGCGTGACCTTACCCACCCAACCACTCCCACCTCCCTACCCTGGCATTCCCTTACACTGGGGCATCACAGGACCAAGGGCTTCTCCTCCCATTGATGCCCAACAAGGCCATCCTCTGCTACATATGCAGCTGGAGCCATGGGTCCCTCCATGTGTACTCCTTGGTTGGTGGTTTAGTCCCTGGGAGCTCTGGGGGTTCTGGTTGGTTGATATTGTTGTTTCTTCCTATGGGAATGCAAACCCCTTCAGTCCCTTCAGTCATTTCTCTAACTCCTCCATTGGGGACCCTGTGCTCAGTCCAATGGTTGGCTTCGAGCATCCGCCTCTGTATTTGTCAGGCTCTGGAAGACCCTCTCAGAAGACAGCTATATCAGGCTCCCGTCAGCATGCACTTCTTGGCATCCACAATAGTGTTTGGGTTTGGTGACTGTATATGGGATGGATCCTAGGTTGGGCAGTCTCTGGATGCCCTTTCCTTCAGTCTCTGCTCCACACCAAGGCAACTCTTATACGACAACATTTAATTGGGGCTGGCTTACAGGTTTAGAGGTTCAGTCCATTATCATCAAGGCAGGGCATGACAGCATCCAGGCAGGCATTAAAACCAACCAACCAACCAACAAACAAACAAACAAACAAAACCCCAAACCAACCAACCAACCAACCAAAAACCCAAAAAATATCTGTGGTAGTGAGACCATAAAATGCATCTGTTGGCCAGCTGAGTCAACTCAGCAGGTTAAGGCCCTTGTTGCTAAGCCTGATAAGAGAATTAAATCCTTAAAGTTGCTCTCTGACCTCACATGTGTGCCACAGCATAATAAAATACATAAATCAAACTGTTTCTACTACATGGTACTGCAAAGATAGCAATGACCATGCAGACGTGTTCACGTTCTCTTCCAGTGTCCAGTATTTAATTCATAGTTGAAAATGATGTTTAGAATCTACAATCCTCCTGCCTCTGCTTCTCATTGTGTCTGGTTCTGTATTATGTAAAGGCTGTATTTTAACAGACCATCTGTCCTCTCCTTTGCTCTTGGCTCCTGCTGGCCATAACCCTACATAGGCTAAATCTTGTTGCACTTAGTAGGGAACTGGCCAATTCCACAGACAGGACAAAAAGACGTGATTTTGCTCTTTTTGATAATAAGGCATAAAAAGATACAATAGTTCATATTCATTGATGTGCCAGGCATTTTTACATGTGTTCTTTTAAACAGAGACCTCTCTCTCTCTCTCTCTACACACACACGGGGGTGGGGGGCGGCGTGGGGAGAAAAAGAGGGGGGAGGGGGGAGAGAGAGAGACACACACAGACAGACAGACATCCACCCTAGCAGAGAAAACTCTGACAGGTGAAGTGGCATGTCCAAGTTCCCACACGTGTAAAGCAGTCAGATGGGAATTCTGGCCAAGACCTATCTAGTATTGTTCTACACAGCCATTTGCTGTAGAGCATATTCCTTCCGATTGCAATATTTCCTCCAAATTGAAACATTTGCTCCAGGAGGGAAAAGGAAGCTCAGGAGACTCAGGTGGTAAACAAGATCCTATACCCAGAGAACAGCAACAATAACACCACCACCCCAAACCAATCCAAACTGAAAGATTCTTGAGAGTGCCTACCAATAGTATACATGGGGTAAACAGTTGCTGGGGTTAAGATTCTGGTCAGGGAAACCATCTAAAGAGATAGACATTCTGTCAAGCTGGAAAGAGAAACCTCCAGGGCTGCAGGTTTCCAAGCTGGCAGCCATGCTGGGTTGGGCTTTCTGGTGCTGAAGCTGCTTTTGCCACCTACATTCTTGTTAGTAACCCTAACACAAAAGTCACTGGTTCATCAAACTGTACATTGGTGCAATCCTTACTTTGGTCTGTTATGGGCTCTCTTTCCATAGTGAGTAGATGAGTGTGTTATGTCTCTGTGTCCCCAGGAAAAGTCTGTCACACAGCACCAACACTATTGCTCTACAGAGTCAGAGGGATGGACTTTGAGCAGAACCAAAGTATAGCCAGTTCTGTTCCCGGTCATGCCCTGACTTTAGGCTAACATGTTTGAGATTGCAAATCGGTTAAGACTATGGCTAGGGCCTCAAGCTTCTTGCTTAAGCTTGAGTTGGTCTTCCTGAACTGACTAAAGACACAGGCTTTGTACTGAGGAGGTACATACCATGAATCTTAGTACAGTGCTCTGAGTTATTAAAGGAATTGCTAAATGTATATATCCATTATCAATTGCCAAAGACCTGTGACTAATAGCTGATGGTCTTTCAAACTTACTAACTTTTTTTTTTCTTTTTGGTTAACATACCTGTTTTGAACTGAGGGATAAAGGTAGTAAGCTCAGTGGTTGAACACTTGTCTACAAGTTGAAGTCCTGGATTTGGTCCCTAGTAAAAGCAAGTAAAAATAAATTTAAAAATTGTGGAAAGGTTATCAACTTTTTTCTCAAAAACATCTAAATGTAGGCTGAGTGTGGTGATGCATACCAGTACTCAGGAGGCAGAGGCAAGTAATTTCTGTGAGTTCGAGTCTAGCCTACCCTTCATACAAAGTTCCAGAGAAGCCAGGGCTACAGAGAAAGACACTGTTTTAAAAAGCAAAAAAGGAATCCACATTTATCACACACATACATTGTTAATGGTTCTTTTTTGAGATAAAGTCTCAAGGATGGCCTGGAACTTGCTCTGTAGCAGACTTTATGGATAACCTTATGCTTCTAATCTCCTCAGTGCTTAGATGGCAAGGATGCACCACAGGACAATTTTTGACACAATAAATATTGCCAACAATAAGGGGTTCTATGAACTGCTAAAATCCTTCTAGGGATCTCCTACATGCTAGGCAATAAGTTATCACTAGAGATGTGACTTCATGGTGAAGGCCTCTAATCCCAGGTACAATGAAGGCTGAGTAATTTGGATGGTAAGGTTAAAGCTTGCCTAAGTTACAGAATGAATTTAAGAACAGTCTGGATAACTCAGGGAGACTCTGCCTCTTAAGTAAAAACAACAAAATGGCAGGGAGTACAGCTGAGTGGTAGAAGGCTTGTACTAGGCTGCAGGTTCAATCCCCATTAGCCACGGGAGGCAGAGATTTTCCATTGAGCTACATCCCTAGCCCCTATGCATTCATTCTATATTGTTTACAAGAACAGATAATGGAAGGTAAAATACTATGTTCTGGATTATTCAGGAGGGTGTTACTGACATTACCAATAATGAATAGTTCTTGACATAGCTGAATCATTCAACGAATATTTAACGGATGCCTGATACATATAGGCTCTGTGCAATGAGCTTAGTTCACTGAGATAAAACACACTTCTTTGATGACACCAATCACACGTACAAACATAAATGTGTTTTCTACTGGCCTAAAAACGTCTCTTAGTTTGCGAGGCAAGGCTTGGAAGCTAACACCTAGTTTTTGGTAATATTCACATCCTATACTCGGGAGTTGGTAAACCAATCTAACCTGTCTCATCTATTCATCAGATTAATAATAGACGAGAACTGCATGCGGTACGTCTTCAAAGATAAGCTTTGTAAAAATGAACTTGAGGGCAAGGTGGTGCATGCCTGTAACTACCAGTAAAAGGGAAACCGAAGTTGGGAGTTTAAGGTCCGCCTTACCTGAGCCTGTACCACAACAAAATGAAACAACTTTATTGGAATGGTAGTTGGCAATATCACTTGAGCGTCGGGCTCTTTAAGTCTCCAGAGCTGTTCCTCAACACACAGGATTCGCAACAGCACAATCAGCGTTTCCCGGAAGAAGCAGATTCCGCTTCCGCCCGCAGATCTCAGTGGTGGGTGTGACCGCCAGACATCCGACCCACAGACTAGGGCGGCCTTCTATCATGCGCATGCGCGCGAGGAGCCCCAGAGACCGGAAGTACAGGGGCGCGGCTAACCGCTTCATACAGCCGGCTCCCGTGCTGAGGCTGGGGGCGCGCGCAAGTGCGCGCTCGTTCGCGCGGCTTGCTGCGTACAGTAGTGACGGCCGCGCGGGAGGGATCACATGACCACAGCGGCTGCCTGTACAGTAAGAACCCAATATGGCAGCGGCGGTAGCAGTGGCAACGGCAGCAGGACTGGCCGCCCCGTAGACCCCCCCCTCCACTGCGCGCCTCCGCGGCCGCTTCCTCGGCGAGTTGCTTCCCGGTCCGACTTCCCCTTTCTTCCACCTTTCCCAGCACCGCGGGAAAAGCAGTGCAGGGCGCAGCAGGCAAGGGAACGCAGCCGGAGCCGGGGCACGGAAGCCTCCCAGGCAGTTCAAGAACCGACATGAGGGAAAAGGGACGTAGGAAGAAGGGCAGGACCTGGGCGGAGGCCGCCAAGACGGTAAGGAGGAGAGAGCAGAGAGAAAGGCCGGCAGGAGTTGGTTTTCTCGCCGGCCACCGGTCGCAGGGAAAGGGAGGTCACTTGGCCCCGCGACCGGGTTGAGGAGCACGAAAGCGCGCGCAGAGAGCGGTTAGGGTCGCGTTGGTGAGCCGTGAGGAGACCGAGGAGTCGGCGCGAGCGATCCGTCGCGCGGCTGCCGCTTGTGGCGGTGGCTACGACAGGACCCCTCGGTGTTCAGAGGTTGCCTGTCGGGGTCATGTCGCTGTCGCCCCCACACTGTTAGCCCTTGTCTCGGCCCAGTGTGTTGTGCTTGCCCAGTAACCGGTTCTTCTCCCTTGTGCGCCTTGGAGATCCCCGATTGGATGTAGACAGGAGGCAGCTTGTGCGTGCTTCCAGCCCCGGAAAGGAGAGGGGAGCGCTGGAGCTCGGTGGCGTTCTCCGCCGAGGCAGACCGGCCGCCAGACCGGGAGGGGGGGGCCAGCTTATCTGGCTCTGGAAGCCAATGTGAGGTCACGAGGCTTTTGTGTTTGCAGTCGGAGCTGAAAGTGCAGGAGGTGTTTAGAAACGAAGTAACAGGTGGGACTCGGAGAATTTTTTTTTTTTTTCTGTTTCCGTAGAGACCTAGTCTGAGTATGGCAGCAATGCATGGTGGGACGTGTAGTTTATTGGCTTTCTTTCTTTTTCTTCTTTTTTTTTTCTTTTTTCTTTTTTAAAGCTAAAGTGAAGGTGGACCGGACCAACAAAATTGTGATTAGTGCCCCTCACGCCAGTTTTGTAATACGGAATTTAGAAGTTATTTAACAATGAATATTTGTGAGAAACCTTGTTTTGAAATATTGAAAACTTGTATTTTCGAAGAAAAGGAACCTTAAGGAGAAATTGAAGTTCCTTCGTTGAAGGTGTAACAGAAAAACAATAGGACATTGAGCAGTAGCATTTCAACCTCTTTAATAGTGGGCAACAAGTGTGTCCTAGTAAGTGAACCTTTAAAGATTGATTATTCGTGTTATTTTCTTCTTTCGAAAGGTAGGTGTGTGTGTGTGTGTGTGTGTGTGTGTGTGTATGTGTATTAGGGATGGAGTGTGTATGTGGCCATGGAGCACACATGTAGAGGTGATAGGACAACTTGTAGGAGTTGCTGTGGGTTGTTCGGCTCGAACTCAGGTTATCAGGCTTGCTGGCCAGCACATTTACCCACCGAGTAATCTCGATAGTCCTGGATTGTTTGCTTAGTAATTTATTTTTTGAGGCAGGGTTTCTCTGTCCTGGAACTCTGTAGACCAGACTGGCTTTGACTTCAGAGATCCTCCCACTTCTGCCTCCCAAGTCCTGGGATTAAAAGTGTGAACCACCACTGACTGACTCCTTGTTTATTTTTTAGATGAGACTTGCAGAATTCAAAAGTAATGTTTATCACAGGGAAATTTAGAAAAATATGAAGAAAATAACTTAGTTCATTCCTTTATTGCCTAGTCTTATTTTCCTAAATTTGAATCATACTGTTTATTCAACCTGTATTTTGTTTTTATAAGCCACGTGCATTTTTTCTTGAGTGTTTTTCCTTTATTTATTTATTTATTTATTTATTTATTTAATTTAGAGGATTACATTTCACATAAATGATGGCCTAAAGTTGGCAGCAGTCTTCCTGCCTTTGCCCCTTGAGTGCTGGGATTGTAGGCATGCACCACCATGCCCAGTTTTATGGGATTCTGAGGATAGAGCCCAGAGCATCATGTGTTATAGGCAAATGCTTTACCACTTGAATTACACCCCCAGCCCACTCAGAGTATGTTTTTGTGACTTTACTGGTAGTGTCCTCTAAAAGACAACTCTAGAAATAAGTTTTTTGGTGGTGAGGAGTTTCTCTTCCACAGAAGTTTACTTCCTACTTCAGGGACACCTCATGACCGCTTGCTGTTAATAAAAGAGAAGATTCGATTTTAGTTAAAACATGAAAATCCCCAAACTAATTATGTGAATTAATTTTAAGTGTCCGTGACATCATTATTTATTTATTAGGCTTTAGTTTTTGAGACCAAGTTTCACTTTGCAGCTTAGGCAGGCTTTAGCATTCAAAGTGGTAAGATCACAGGCATCTCCACAGTCTCTCTTTTGAAAGTACGTTCTGTCGCCCTTACTAGTTAAGAGCTCTTTATGTAGACCAGACCAACCTTAGACTGGGATTATAATCATGTACTACAGCACCTTGTGAATTATAACCTATCTGAGCTAAATAGTTTAATGGTTAGGAAATTGTGACAAATGGGAAGAATAATTTTGCCCCTGTTTGATTTCTTACAGTGAGAATATTTGTTTATTTTGTGCACCAGCTACCTTTGTGAATAATAGTGTTTAAAAGACAGAAAGTAGGATGGAGAGCTGGCTTAGGGGTAAGAGCACTTGTACAGAAAGGCACCTTTAGATAGTTATCTCACCATGGGCCCGTTTTCCACATTAAAAAAAAAAACAACTCACCGGGCGGTGGTGGCTCACGCCTTTAGTCCCAGGGCACTTGGGAGGCAGAGGCAGGTGGATTTCTGAGTTCGAGGCCAGCCTGGTCTACAGAGTGAGTTCCAGGACAGCCAGGGCTACACAGAGAAACCCTGTCTCGAAAACAAACAAACAAAAAAAAAAAAAACCACCTCCTTTCTTTTACTTTTATGCATCTTTTTGTGAGGAGGGATGTGTATGTGTGTCTAAATGTGCAGTGGGAGCCAGAGGATGAAATTAGGTGCTTCTCTCATTTTATTTACTGAGGCAAGGTCTGTCACTAAAATGGACGCTTCCCAGTTGCTCTACATGAGTAGCTGGCCAGCTTGCCCCCATCTCTACTTTCCAAGCACTGGTGTTATAAGATAGGGCCACCATGCACTTGGACTTTTAATAATTGTAGTATATATATGAGTATTTTGTCTGCATGTGTGTCTTTGCACCACATGCATACCTGGGGTCAGAAGAGTGCCTCTGGCCCCCTGAAACTATAGTTACAGATGGTTGTGATCTGAACCTTGGCCTTCTGGAAGAGTGCCTTTATCCACTGAGCTATCTTTGGAGCCCCCACACTCTGATTTTTCTGTCTTTTGCCATCTGAACTCTGGGCCTAATGTTTGTTCTGTAAGTGCTTTATCCATTGAGCCAATTTGCTGTTCCTCTGTCCTGTTTTTATTTCTATCCTGAAAGTCTACATACCCCCTGTCTTGAAGGCAAAACAAAATAAAAATCTGTTTCGGAGCTGGGCAGTAGTGGCACACACCTTTCGTCCCAGCACTTGGGAGGCAGAGGCAGACAGATCTCTTAAGTTCAAGGCCTACAGGGAGAGTTCCAGAATGGCCAAGGCTACACAGAGAAACCCTGTCTTGAAAAGTCTCCTGTCTCCAGGAGAATAACTACTTTGGATATTTAAGTTAACAGTTTCTAGAGGACTATGTTGGGACAGGGTTGCAATCCAGCATCTTGTGGGAGAGGCAAAAATATCTTGATAACAAAGCCAGATTGGCCTAGGTAACTGGGTTCTATTTCCAAAAAATTAAAAAAATGTTGAAAAAAAAGTGTTTGCTACAAAAGGAGCTACTGCTGTATCTCCTAGATTATGAAAACTTGACAAAACACTCTCAAATTTGCAGAGCTGCCTACTGCTTTTTCTTTTCTTTTTTAAAGATTTATTTATTATATATTCAGCTTCCTATCTGCATGTATGCCTGCATGCCAGAAGAGAGCTCCAGGTCTCATTACAGATGATTGTGAGCCACCGTGTGGTTGCTGGGATTGAACTCAGAATCTCTGGAAGAGCAGTCAATGCCCTTAACCTCTGAGCTATCTCTCCAATTCCCCCAAACCCCCACTTCTTTTTCCTTCACAGATTTTTATCTGCCTTTAAGAGGTCAATGCAGTTTTGTTATCAGTGAAGTGACACTCTGGTTTTTTTGTTTGTTTTAACATGGGTTCATGTAACTCAAGTTGACCTCAAATTCCCAGTAGCTGAGGATGACTGATTCTCCTATCTCTACTTCCCAAGTGCTGAGACTAACAGGTGTGCAATCCCCACACCTGGTTTTGTTAAGAGCTAGGGTTTTGTAGCACATACCTAAAATTCAACACTTCGGAAGCTCAAGTAGAAGGTCTCAATGTTTGAGGCCAGCTTGGATTGCAGGGTGAGATTCTATCTATTCCTACACTAAAGAAAATAAAAAGAAACTATGTGGTAGGAAGTGGAAACATGACTATAGAAATTGATCAATACAAAAGCCTGCCTTTGTTATTTTACAAAAGTTCTGACTACCCCTATACTTTCATATTCTTTCCACATGGTAGAATTTAGCACACTAAAGTTTTTGGAGATATATATATATATATGAACGAACGAACGAACGAACGAGCACATTTTCTTGCTTTTGGTGCAATATATAATTCATTATGTTTTTAGTTTTGCTCCATGTTACTAAATTTAAAAACTTTTCAATATGACTTAAATAGTATTACATGCTTTAAATCAAATATAGAAGCCCCATAGTTGCTCGTGTTTATGTAAATCCAGTAAGATCAGAAATTCAAGGCTAGCTTCAGCTACATAGAATTTGAGGCCAGCCTGGGCTATGTGAAACTTCCTCAGAAATAAAAAACAAACCAATTTTTAAAATTTATATATTTTCACTATTTAAAAATGAGGACAGATGAGTTTAGTCTCCTGAAAATATACACACTAGGTCGGGCGGTGGTGGCGCATGCCTTTAGTCCCAGCACTTGGGAGGCAGAGGCAGGTGGATTTCTGAGTTCGAGGCCAGCCTGGTCTACAGAGTGAGTTCCAGGACAGCCAGGGCTACACAGAGAAACCCTGTCTCGAAAAAGAAAAGAAAAGAAAAGAAAAAAAAAGAAAAGAAAAGAAAAGAAAAGAAAATGTGCACACTAAAATACCAAAATGTTCAGCTTGGAGCTGGAGAGATAGATGCTCAGTGGTTAAGAGCACTTACTTGTTTTTCTTGCAGAGGGACCCAGGTTCA